GTCTGTCCTGAACTTGACCCATGTTGACCATAGCCAGATGATTGACTTGAGCCAGTACCATGTTGACCATATCTAGACTGACTTGATCTAGACTCATGCTGTCCAAAGCCAGAAGATTGTCCTGAGCCTGACCCATGCTGTCCAAAGCCAGAGGACTGATGTGAGCCTGATCCATGTTGGCCATAGCCAGACGATTGACCTGAACCTGATCCACATTGTCCAAAGCCAGAGGACAGACCTGAGCCAGACCCATGTTGTCCAAAGCCAGATGTCTGACCTGAGCTATACCCATGCTGGTCATAGCCTGAGGATTGATTTGACCTAGACCCATGTTGGCCACAAGTTTGACCTGAGCCAGATACATGTTGTTCAAAGCCAGATGATTGACTCAAGCCTGTTCCATGTTGTTCACAGCTAGTAGACTGATCTGAACCAGACCCATGTTGACCACATTTGGAAAATTCATTTGAACTAGAAGAGTTTGAAAAGTGGCCACAGGAACCATAGTCATGTTGACCATTACTACAAGACTGACTACCTCCAGACCTGTATTGTCCACAAGAGGATTGACTTGTGCCTGTTCTCTGTTGTCCTCCACAGTTCTGTGGTTGACCATGTTCTCTAGCTCCATAAGCTCTCTGACTATAGGACTGGCCACAGGAGTTAGACTCAGGTTGACCACATCCAGAGGGCTGACCTCCTGAGACACAGCCATGGCCTTGTCCTCCATTAATTTCTGACTGACAGCCTGACTGAGTACAGCTAGATTGATATCCTTGCCCTCCAAATCTATGTGACTGACGAGAACTAGAAGCAGTTTGTGGCCTTCCACACCCACCCGAATTGCTATAACCACATGCATGACTTTGCCTCCCACTACCTCCCGAAACTGAACAGTTATACTCAAGCTTTTGTCCTCTACTTCTTGACTGAGTACAGTTTGATTCATGCTGACTAGTCTCCAATCCACGTGACAGACCACCATGACCTTTCCTTCCCCAACTCTTTGATCCACATTCAGATTCATATTCTTCCCCAGATTCCCTAGAAGGGCTAACATGTGACTTGTTTATTCTTTCTCCCAGTTCTCCAGAGCTGGAACCATGTCTCTCTTTGCCACTACTCCATGAGTGACCAGAGCTGGACCTATGGTGTCTTTTCTCAGATCTCTCTTGGTTCCCAGAGCTGGATAAATTACCTTGTCTTCCTAGCCTCCTGGAGTTGGACCCATGTCTACATTTCACAGTTCCCCTTGAGCCCCCAGAACTATATCCATGCTCCTCTCCCTCACTCCAACTTGAATGTCTGTAACCTGATTTACGTCCTGGTGTATCCTCTTCATCCTCTTCTGTTTCACTTTCTTCCTCTTGGTGTTGGTGACCATGCCTATGTTTCTTTGACCCTGAAGCTTTGCAGTATTCTTTGCTGAGAACCTTGTTGCAGGCCAGAGCCAGCTTGAATACCATCAAAAGAAACTCAGTAAAGTCCAATCTTCTGTCATGATCTCGATCCAGCATGTGCATGATGACATCCACTGTGTCTGGATCATCTGGGTTCTGTATGTGAATGACACACCAAGGGAGACCTGGTCAGCCTAGCCTGCATACTCAACCAACACATTCAAATAGCGCTATGAAATTGTGGATGTTTGACATTATGTAGTTTTAGTCCAATAGAGGATTACTTTAGGTTAATAGAAGCCAGTAAATGTGAAGCATTAATAGAAAATAAAGACTATTGGGATCCTCAGAAGAAGACATTTTAAGGATTTAAGCTAGAGGATTAAGTGCTTAGGTAAGGTCTACAGGAAGGAGTGGAATAAACCAAGTTCAGCAACTGGTACTTCTAAGTTTTACGTAAATTTTAACTATTACATGTTAATATATTCCATGTTAGAATTTACCATCTATGATTTTGAAGTTAATAACTGAGTCATTCCTAAGTAGATGGAATAAAATGCTTGTATTTTATTGTTGATTCTTAATCACGGCTATTTTGTCAACTCCTCTTATAGATGATTTCTCTTTCTATACTTTTTTCCATTTGATAGGATAATTTGCTAATGCATGTCCTAGAACAAACTTATTTTCTGCTTTTTCTTAGGAAAAGCCTGGATGTATGTATGAGAAAGTCTGAGAGTCTATAAGGTGGAAGTACATAGGAAAAGTGAAGACAAAACATTCATTTTCTTTAAAAAACATGCTGCTTTAACAGACTTTCTGGTATCCCCAAAATACTGCTTATAGATTTTGCTTAGAGTCTACTGGGGCAGTGCACTTTTTAGCTGGTCTGGGTCATATAATAGAGCATGTACAGAACTCTGGCAGCCCTCAGTTCTGGCACATGGTTCTCACCTTCAGAATTGGACGAAACTCTTTTTCCAGAAGTTCCTTTAGTTCATCCTTGCTCAGTGTACCACATTCCTCATCTTGCTTGGTGTATTTGTAGAAAACATCAATGACAGTGACAACACTTCTCAAGAGGTCTGTCATCTTTTTACAAGTTTAAGTGAACCTGGACACAGAAAAACAAAGAAGCCTATTATTCATATTCTCCCCTTTTAATTTATTAGCAGTTTTCATTTTAATAATAACCATCATGATTTTTTTTAACCTCTTGTTTCTTTTAAATGTCAAAAAGGAAGGATGGGTCAAGGATGATCTTTACTGTTCAACACAATGAAAATTAACTTTGTTAACTTTTAGTTACTTTTCTAAGATCAAGTCATGGCATGTACTGGGTCAACTGAGAATAGATCTCAGGTCTCTATATTTCTTGTCATGGGAAAGTATAGTCTCTACATAGTATCTCTATGCTTTGAGTGTGTTGGTGTTCTGGGTGTTGTTCTAAGGCTTCCAAAGTTTCTAGAACCAGCCAGACACCATTTCCTCAATCACTCTTTCTAGTTTCACTGCTATGCTTGAGTCAAAAATGACAGACCTTCTACCATGCACATCTATTTATCCTCTGGGCACCAGAAACTAAACTGGACCCTTAAGTCCTTAGCAAATTAAAAATGGGCAAAGGGGCTCAAAATATCTTGGTATTTCAGAGGCATAAGATAGCCCCTAGGATATCCATAAGATAGTCCTAAGATAGTAGAGCTTACGAACTCTCTTAATATCAAGAACTTGACCAAATGCTGTTCTCTTTCATTAGTCAAGAAGAGGAGCTCAGCAATGCAGGCAGCAGTTTTAGTGGATAATTAGATCTTGGAATTCTGTGAACCAACACTGAACAAGGAAGGGCCTCTGCAACAGTCCCAGATGCTTTTGGGCTGGACAGCCCAGAAAAGAGTGGCCTGGAAAAAAACTGGGAACAGTGTGGAACGGCCTAGAAGAAGGCAAACTTCTATTTGCATTATTCTTCCCTTATAAAGATGAATTTATTAAAAAAAAACAAAAACAGAATAAACTAAAATAACCAAACAGAAAGAAAAGAAAATGAAGGAAGAAACAAACAAAAAAAAGGCAAAATATACATAAACTCTGCCTTAGCTCATATCCCTAGATTTCTATTATGAACAACACGAAATATTCATAAAGGTAGCTGGATGAATTTTTTCTCACCTGGTTCACCAAAGGAACAAGTAGGATAAAGCTGGTGCAGCTTGCAGGGTGATGATGGATTGGGATAATGATCCTTATATAGATACACTGACTGTGCTGATTAATTTCCATCAAACCTAACTCCACCTCTACATATTTCCTTCCTCCTCCTTCACATTCTCATCTATAGATGATTGCAGAAAGGCTGGTACCAGCTCCACCTTCCAGTATGAGGACATGGTTGCAAGATACTTTTTTTTTCAGGGTCATACTCATGTGAGAAGCACAGATTTTTTTCAGAGGACTCATGTTATGCATTTCTTTTATCTAGTACCCACAGAAAGTAGCAGAATATAAGATATTTGGAAGGTGCACAATAATTGCTTATTCAATTGAAAGTGAACCTGAGCCACTAGGTTCACCTAACTCATGTCTTTTTTGTAATAATAAAAACTGACATTTATTGAGAATTTACTATGTGCTAGATAGTGTACTGAATATTTTAAACATATTATCTCAATCTTTTAAAAAATCTATACTTTTAATCATGGGTACATAGTTGTATATAATTGTGGGGTACATGTGATGTTTTGATATGGGCATACCGTGTGTAATGATGGAATTACAATAGAATAATTGGGGTATCCAGCACCTCAAGCGTTTGTCATTTCTTTGTGTTAGGAACATTCTAATTCCACTATTGTAGTTATTTAAAAATATACAATAAATCATTGTTAACTTAGTTACCCTATAGTTAACCAATAGTAGATTGTATCCCCTGATTTAGTCTTCACACCCTTCATGTGAGATATGTATTTATTAGCCCACTTTTCAGAGACAGGTTCTGAAAGCATAAGGGTCTTCTCCAAGGTCACAGCTAGTAGGCAGAGAAACCAGGATTTGAACCTGTATCTACCTTATATAGAGCAATGCCATTGCTCTTTACCATTATATTAGCTTACCTCTGTGTATTTATCACATATAACTATTACGCAAAAATTATGCACCATTTCAGGAGTGTTAACACCCAACCCACAAATAATATGAAACACAAATAATATACAAAAGTAACATACAGAGTGCTGTTAGGAAGAGAGGAAACATTCTCTCACCTTATGAAGACTCATTTCTAGGCCAGAAAAATATAATTGGTTATATATAAAAACAATGTTTCTGGAAATGTTCAGGGTGAATTTAGAGTGGGATTTCTTCCAGCACTCTGCTATCCACTGGTAGCCTGGCATCTTTGAGCCTGGATCTTTGAGGAAATGTTCACTTATATACAGAAAGTATATCAAATATACTCTAGGGTAATGAAAACAATCAGAGAGGTGTAAGTATTAAGCATGGAGGGCCTGTTCTTCTGTACTTTGCTACCAGGTGATAATGGTGATGAAGAGGAGGAGGATAGGAGCTACCAATAAGTGCTAAGTGCTTCCTGTCTTCCATACATGGTAGGTTTACTTACTTCTCTCTCTATTCCTCACAATAACCCCATTTTATAGATGAGGAAATGAAAGCATAGAGAAATGTAAGCACTTGTTGCAAATCAAAGCTAGTCAGTAGCAGCACTAGAACAGAGATCCATGCTATCTGATGCTAAAGCCTAGCACTTAACCACATATATTCTACATATATGGAGTCAGTAAACCCCTCTCTGGGCATTCCTTTAGGGAAGTCATTATATCTTATTCATTCCACCATCTAGGCAGCACCTAGAGCTTGGTAAACACTAAGAATGAGTGTCTGTTCATCAAATGTTGACAAAAATGCCCCTGAGATATATCAATTGCTCACATAGCCAAGGAATCCTAGGCCAAAACAACCACACAGAAAGTTATGTTTGCTGTTGGATATTGTGGTTATTTTCAATAATATGCATCTTTTAGAAGTGCATTTTTGTTAACATGACTGCTGTGTCAGAAAGACTTTCAGGTCCGAGCCTCCACATGAGACAGAATTTTAGAGCCATTTTTGCACTGTCACTCCAGTATTACAGTTTAGAACTCTGAAACTCCTCCATAGTTTGCCCACTGTCAGAACTCTATTATTCGTTCTTTTGTATTCTTTGCATTTAGGTGTCTCTTCCTCTTCTCACTTGCTTAGCATAATGGATAAAATTATAGTCAGAAAGACCTAATTTATAATCTCAGCTTTGCCTCTTACTGTGTTTCTTGTACAAGTATCTAATCTTCTCAGCCTCAGTCTCCCAAATTATAGAATGGAACAATAACACCTACCTAACAGGTGGCGATTACTTAAAGTGTGAAATTGCTTAGTAGCTGCCTGGCATATAATACATTCTTAGTACACTATGTAATTATTGCAAACTTATTTTGCTAAATATTTTATATCATCTATCACAGCATTTTACACAAAGAAAGTACTTGCTAATGTTTGGTAAAAATGAGTTAGAAGCTGCTAGTAGTCTTTTAAAGGCAGAAATACTACATCTCTGTCAAAAGCATTGCCTGGAAGGTAAGTCATGGTTTTGAAAAAAAGCACCTGTTTAGGGGATATAATTCACATATCATAAATGTCAACCTTTTAACCTGTTTTCTGTTTGCCCTCAGAGTACTGTGCTGGCAGTGAGCTGCACTTTTTTTTCCAATTGAGAAATAGGTTAAAGTATACAGTGTGTGTGTGTGTGTGTGTGTGTGTGTGTGTGTGTGTGTGTATACAGAGTATATGCAAGTGAGTTATGGTTTTTATGATGTCTGTGTCTTTAAGTGTGTTTCCTCACTTCTCAATTCCTTAGTTCTCCCTGTGTAATGATCATAGGTGTTATTAGTGTCTGGGTCCCAGTGGACACATAGCAGGTTATTTGAGCTGCAATTTTGGAGAACGGTTATTGTCTCCATTTCACAAAAGTCTACGCACTATTTGGAAAGAATTCCAAGTGCTGGTTTTAAATATTGAGTTGATACCTGCAGACACTTTTGCCCTCCTAGGTTCTGAAAGATTGTTTAGTTCAATGAAGCAGAGGCCTGAAGTCCAGAAGTAGGGTACAGCTTCAGTTACACCATTTTTCTGTGTCTGGGCCTCCTTTTTGCCTTATGCAACTCATCTCATCACCTTCTGCTCATTCCATGTCTACATTGCTCAGGCTCTAGGCAACACCAGATTCTTTGATTTGAGGCCCTTTTGGTGAAGCTCATGCACTGTTGGCCACTGGATTCTTGAAAAGGAAGCTATACCTCAGAATATTAAAAGTAACTTTAATTGGACCTGCAAACATTTTAGATTTTGGCTTTTCCACTGCATGCCATATGAATTTTGTTTCTATATCTCATCTTTTTTTTGTTTTTTTTGAGACAGCATCTCACTTTGTCACTTAGGCTGGAGTGCTGTGGTGTGATCATGGCTCACCACAGCCTCAATTTCCCATATTCAAGCGATCCTTCTGCCTCAGCCTTTCAAATAGCTAGGACTATAGATACGTGCCACTATTTTTTAAAATCTTGTTTATGGTGGTGAAAGCTCTGCAAGTTAGGATAGTCTGTTTTACCTCCTGTCATTTTCAAATTAAGAACTTGCCTTAGGGCCTGAGTGGGTCTTTGTCTATCATAAGAACCAAACATTTTCTCTATGCTAAAACTATTTGGAACTCCTATTTTGGGGGTTTTCAATGAACTCAATTTAAAGCTGATACCTGAGAATTGATCCAGGGACACTGATATGCATTACATGTCTGTTTCCTGTAAGAGCAGTTTAGGGAGATGTTCTTGGCTTATAGTATGATGTAGTAGAAAAAACATTGACTTTGCAGTAAGACACATACATCAATTTGTATTATAGTTCCAACATATACTACCTGTAATATCTTGGGAACATTTCTAAGTCTGTCTCTGTTTTCACACCTGTTAAATAGGGACAATTACAGACATCTTAGAATTTGGTTTTTAAAATCGTAAATTTGATTTTTAAAACCATTAATGTGCATTTAGAACTAAGTTTATAAGTCAAGAGCATGATAAGGTTTAAAAAAAAATGGGAGTTCATTGTTGAGCATGAATTTAAAGTAACCAGACTTCCTTTGGTCCAGTGGCTCTCAGCAATTTACTTCAGCAGGCATTTTTGTTTATTTGTTTTTTTTGAGGACATTCTATGATCTCATGACCCTTCTCCTTGTAGGAATGTGCTTCCAGTGGTGAGGCAGTCTAAGAATGCGTGAAGCACTATAATGAAGCCAGATCAGGGTTGAAGCTTGGTCTAGGATTTGAGCATCAGGAAAACTGTTGAAGGTTTATGTATACATCACACACACACACACACACACACACACACACACACACACACACACACTTCCATACTCCCACAACAATGTATAGTAATGTAATTACTATACAATGCAATGTAAATACTATACATTGTTGAAGATCTATAACATGGAATGCCTAGTGCTAAGTACAGTGTCCTCAATGAAATTATATTGGTTCAAAATTATTTGTGAGTTTGGGATTATTTGTCGCTACCCTTAAATGATCTTGACACTCACCTATTTCAACAGGTATAGAGGATTTGCCATTTGATTTTGACCAGGGTATATTGTGCACAAATATTGTGAATATACATCTGTCTGTCCTTAAATCACTGTAAGTTTTATCTGGAATAGATTTGCTCCACAATATTGAGTAGGGCTGATATTTCATGCATCATGGATGAGAAAAGAATTGGCAAAAATTATATTTTGGGCTGCCTCACATATCTTTGAACAGGATAAGGGAAAAATAAATAAAAGACCTATGAGTTATAGCATCAGGCTTGAACATTAATTTATGAATTAAGCCAACAATATTATTGATTATTGCAATTATCTATGTTAATTTCATTTGTTTTCCTTTTAAAAACTAATTATGTTTACATTACCTATTGTAAATAAAGTCACTCCTCCCATGTGCTTATTTCTTGACTCTTATCTTCAGTGCTTAGATTTCATGGGACTGCTCATTTTAAGTAACTTCTGAACATTGGACTCTGAGAGGAAGGATAGTATAGTGAGATCTGTGGAAAACCACATCTGCAAATGTCTAATTTTTTTCTTCAGGGGTAGGTTTTCTTC